CTATGCAGGATCTCCTACATCCCTTCCAAGTGGATGACAGTGGTAGCCGGGCACCATCTAGTTCTTCTGGTCTCATAGTTGTATAGGTGCAAAGCACCTTCTTAGCATAGGAGACCTCGTAGATATAATCTCAAGTCCCCAGGACAACCCCAAGTAAAATGGGAAATCTCAACACTTGTTTCAACTTTTCCAGCCTTGTCATTCAGTGCCCATCTCCAAACCTAGCAAAATTATCTGTCTCTCCCTCCCACTCTCCAGAGATAGTCAGAAAATATATTCATATTAACATTTAAATGGTCAACAAGGCTTCCTAGATGACTGTCCCCAGAAGTGGTATGACAATTCTCAGATTGTAGGGGTCTTCAAGGCTCTTAAAAATCTTACCTAGTGTTGTTGGTAGAATTCAATTTTTTGCAATTATAGGTCTGAGGCTCTCAGTTCCTAGAGGCCACCGGCTGTATCTTGCCACATAGCCTTCTCCAGAACATGGTACTTTGCTCCTTCAAGGCCAACCAGAAAGCATCTCTCTGATGTTTCATCTTCTTTTAAAGAGATTACCTGATTAGATCAGGCTCACCCAGGATAATCTCCCTTTTGATTAACTCCAAGTCAACTAATTGGTAACTTAAACATAGGAGTGATATTCCATCATATTCACTAGTTCCACAGACACTAAAGGGGAGAGGATTATACTGGATGTGGACACTAGGGGGCAGAAATCTTGAGGGGAACATCTTAGAATTCTGCCTACTACACCAGGTGATTAAATCAAACCAAACCCATTGCCACCAAGTTGATTCCAACTTATAGCAACCCTATCAGATCCAACTCATAGTGAGCCCTCCTTGGGTTTTCAAGGCGGTATCTTTACGGAAATAGATTGCCCAACCTTCCTTCCGAAGTATAGGACAGAGTAGAACTATTCTATAGGGTTTTCAAGGCTATAAATATTTCCAGAAGCAGACTGCCACATTTTTCTCTCCCAGAGCAGCTGGTGTGTTTGATCTGCCAACCTTTCAGTTAGCAGCAGAGTGCTTAACTCCTGCGCCACCAGGGCTCATCTACCAGGTGGACAAAGTGGTCTTTGCCTCATGTATCCTTATGTACCCGTGGCCTCATGTACCGTGTTCTCCAGAGATGCACAGATGTCTGCTGCAGAGGTGTTCTGTTTCTGCTTTTGCAGAAATCATTCTAGAAGGGAGAGAACATTGTAGCTCAGCTTGTTTTCCCTGTAGAATTTGGCAGGTTCCTTACAACCTAGTATGGATATTTGGCCTTAATTTAGGCAGAAAAGTGCTCCAAGGAGAAAGTATAGATAGTAGGTGGGACTGATCACTTAACTGCCTCTTTGTCCCTCCCAATTTTTGTCTTCTTTTTAAACCTCTGCAAGCACCATGAAAATCTGACACCAGAAGTGGACCTCACATCACCTCTTTTACACCTGACCTCTTCATACTTCTAGAGAAACCCCAGGCCCAAGGGCATTCTTTTCAGGTTATGAGATGCTATTGGCAACACAGAGAGGGTGTACAATCCTATCATCTGAGATATTTCCAAAATGGTAAAGGGGTCCATCCCCCGGCATGGTTTCTTCTTGCTTGGAGGCAGAAACCTGGCTAATACACCCCGAAAAGTTTCCTTTTACTGGCCAAATGGCCATGCTTCAGGCAAGCAGAGGAAAAAAATAGATTTGAATTTTTTTTTCATTGCCTTCCCCTTCACCCAAATTGGTGTAGTGCCTAAGGCATCTGACTGCTAACTAGAAGGCTGGAGGTTCAAACCTACCAGCCACTCCTCAGAAGGAAGATTGGGCATAGTGATACCGCCTCGGAAACTCAAAGAGGGGTTGCTATAAGTCAGATCCAACTCAATGGCAGCAAGTTTGGTGTTTTTTTTTTTGTTTTTTTATCTAGTTGGTGGTTTTTCTCCCTTCCCTTCCCACCCCTGGTAATCATCAAAGAGTCTCTCTTTCTGTGTGAAACCATGTTCTTGACTTTTTACAATAGTAGTCTCACACTAGTTCTCCTTTTGTGATTGACTAATTTCACTCAGCATAATGTCCTCTAGGTTTATCCATTTATGTGATGTTTGGCAGACTCATCAATGTTCTTTAACATTGCATAGTATTCCGTTGTGTGTATGTACCACAGCTTGTTTAACCATCCATCGGTTGATAGGCATTTAGGTTGTTTCCTTCATTTTGCTATTGTGAATAATGCTGCAATGAACATGGGTGTGCATATATATGTTCATATCACAGCTCTTATTTCTCTAGTAGTGGGATTGCTGGATCATATGGTATTTCTATTTCTAGATTTTAAAGAAGTGCCATACTGTTTCCACAGTGGTTGTGCCATTTTACAGTCCCACCAACAGTGTATGAGGGTTCCAGACATGCCACACCCTTGCCTTTCTTCTTTTGAACTTTGCTATTAGTGCTGCGATGAGATGATATCTCATTGTTGTAGATTGTGAATTCTTGAACCAGTCTTTTCAAGCCCTCCACTAGACAATAAGCCCCCTAAGGGCAGAGGCTTTTGTCTTCCTTGTTTACTGCTTTTAATGTTTGGACAGTGTCAGCACATAGTGGGTCTTCACTGAATATTTATTGAATAAATGAAAGAATCAATTCCAAATGCATCTTTATGGCTCTCATAAACCTTCCTTAATCTGACTAATAGTTTTTCTGATCACCTTGTTGATGCTCTCACCCCCTCTTGCCTCCTTTGTAAGTTCCTCTAGTCCCTCTCCTGTATTTCCCACCTCCACCTTTCTGTTGATCCCTTTCCAACTGCCTATAGGTTTTCCCAGACTTCCCCAGGCTCTGCTGGACTCCTCACCTCTGGAACACTAACCTAAGCGCCTTCTTTCTCTGTCCCACAGAACCTATGAAGACGGGTCTACACCCTCTGCCTCATGCCGAGCTACTGATCCAACCTCATACGCCCTGACTCCTGGAAGTCTGGCTTCTGCTGCCATCACTCTTTTTAAATGGCTCTCAGGAAAGTCACCA